TCCTTATATTCCAGTTGCCGTTGACACTGCTAAACTCACAACATCTACTTGATTACTCATTTAGATAATGACATCGATCTATATACATAAATAAAAATATGTTGTATGATCATCCAATTGAGTTGAGGTATATGAAAATGATGAAAATGAATTTAAACAAGTTGAAACAAGAGGGGAAGCAAGGGAGGATGAAATCACTTTTTTACTTTCTAACATCTTCATTTAGGGAGATGGGATATGTATCAATTTCTCTCTCTCTTTCTCTCTCTCTCTTTCAGTTCTACGGAATGTCGAACACTGGTGGTCCAGTAACCTTCACGAAGCTTGCACTTTGTTTCCATGAAGGTTTTTCAGTTGTTTTATCTTCTCAAATGCAATGGGAATGTGATAGATCATAAGATAATAAAAATGATAAATAAACGAATCGAATGAGAAATGTTATATTGGAAAATCGGAAAATCATTGAAAAAATATAAAAAAAATGAAAAAAAAAAGTTAAAAGCCATCTGGATATGGCATCTCTCAGTCACCACAAATACAACAGGACAGTATAATAAACAGGATACATCACATCATCATGCATCTATAGAGATATGGTTGGGGCAGGAAATTGAAATTTTCTTTTTTCTCCATTTCAATAAATTAAAAAGTGAAAATGAAAGTCATTTTTTTGAATTCTTTGTGCTTTATTGTTTTTTGATTTCATCAATCATTAGAATTTCATTTTCATTTTTTTTTTTTATGAAAAAATACAATTTCCGTTACGAATGGGTTAGATGCGTCATAATACATCTTTCATATTGATGGCCGTTCGAGAAAACATTTATATATTTTGATTATTGTACGTGATTACACATATCTATCGGCGCCTGATTTTGAGAAAAAAAAAATTTTTTTTTTCTCGCCGTTTGTGAATAGAGCACGACAAGATGTGTGCGTGTGTGTGTATGGGTTAAGGGAGAAGATGATGATGATAATGTTTTTATTTAATTGTATCATTTAACCAGTTTTGTCTATTTCACTTTCTCTCATGTATATCAATGTATTGCTTCATCGCCCTCCTTTTCGTTTTCAGTCTTTATAGTAGGGGAAGAGAGGTGGTAGTGGGGGGGTGATGGCTAGAGAGGGGGTTTGATAGAATAACGGAAAAAACTAATGGACGCTGGTTATCATTCATGATTGACTGCTAAGGTTCTGTGAATATCAGTTGTAAACGGCCTTATCAGAATTTTGTCTATTATGTAATTGAACACCTTTTCATAAGTTTAAATTTTTTTTTCGTTCTCACACACTACACACACGCACACATGTACACACTTCACGTGTATACAAGTTTGAATATGCTATACTCAGCTGATTGTATGTAAGTCAATGTCTTCTTAATCTTCTTTTTAAGTTTTTGTATTGCGTCTTAGAATGCAACAGACTTGATGACCTATGACATTCCATCTTCTTTCCCGAACTTTAACTGAAAAGACAATTTAAAAAAAAAAACTTTTCGAACTCCTTGTGGAAGGATGAACAGCATGTTCGCTTGAAATCTTTTGTTGAATGTTTCTGTTCAAATCAAATCTATTGTTTGAATGTACTCGGAATGGAATTACAGATCCATACATCGTGTAACTGTTTGAAAACGAAAATGAGTGATGGTATGAAAACTCCTGCCAACAAATTCATTTCTGATAGATGTGATAGTGGCTTAACAGATAGTGTTACATCTGATTATTCTTCGCCGGAATCTCCAATACCAAAAGTTCGTTCAAATTTCTCTTTGTTTTCATTTTTTCCTCACATTTTTAAGAAACAATCACGTTTCGCTGTTACACGAGTTCAACACCATCACCCTCATGTGGATTCTCAAACTGTGGCAATTCATGATACTCCTCATAACCATCTCCAGGTATTTCATGTTATTGAATATATCCAGATAACATGTTTCCCAGAAAATTCCTCCAAAGAAAGGAAAATTCATTGTTACACCAGTACGAGACCCTCCATCTGCTTCCAAGAAAAGTTCTGTGAAGGTTAGCAATCACAAATCATTCATCTGAACTCTGTACATTCCCAGGTCCTCTATGTGACTGAACATTCTCCTACAAATCCAAACAGAGCTTTATTTCCAATGGCTTCACCAAAAGTCAGTGAACCTATGGCACAGTTGCATAATCGAATTGAACAAGCTATCGTAAGTAAACTTTTTTTGAAAACCATTTATAGCATTCATCTCATAGGAGCTTGTAAAAACACATTTGACTCTAGCAGTCCGTCAAGAATTTGATGTCATGAAGAAAACGATTGCCCGTCTTGAGTACAAAGTAAACATATGAAATGTATTAATGTGAATCTCAATATGGTTCCTAGGTTGCTAAACTGGAAAGTGAAAACGATTTACTCCGACGTCATTCAGGATTTCCGACTGATGTTCATCGTTCCAAATACTGAAATTGGATCTTCTTTAAGTTCACAGGTGTTTTCTCTAAGTTATATATTGCTATTCCGTTTATTCCATGACTTTAAAATTGAAAATCTTCTCCAATTAGTGAGAGATGAAGAGAGAGAGAGAGAGAGAGAGAGAGAGAGAGAGAGAGAGATATTGAAGTCTAATCGTTTTATACTCATTGTAAGTATATTCCTGTATATTTTGCTGCTGTAATTATTCATTCTTAATCAGTTTCTCAACTTCTTCAACAACCACCCACTCCGTCCACCCCTTCTTGCTCCCCCATTCCCCTTCCTTATACATTCTTATAATTTATATTCCATCAATAGTGAGCATGGCGATGACCAAACTTCAACTTTACAAACCATTTTCTGAGATTTTTATTTTCTTTATATGTTTTAATAAATATATATGAAAACCATGATTATTTCCATGAACTTTCTTTTGTTTTTCATTCATGCTATCTTCATTAAGCTTTTTCAAAATTTAATTTCATCGAGTTGTTTAAGCAGCAACACAGCAGGAGGAATGGATTCTTTAAATCTTCATGAATCAATCAAGAACTGCAATCTGAACAATAAGAGTTCGCATGCAATGAAGTTAGTCTTTTATATACATGTAATTATTATTTTTGTGTTTCTCTTCATAATAGACGTGAGCTTATTAAAGAAATTAACAGCCTCAGTCAAGAGCTCATATCGCTGGAGGAGGAGAAAGAAGTATTAGAAAGACATGTAATCTATCTCATAGCATATATTCATATTGTTCTCATCAATTTTTGCAGATTCAACGGATTACTGATACAAGTTCCGTGTTGATGCAAGTCATTACAACGAAAACATCTGAATTAGATCGTCTGCAGAAGATCATTGAGCTTTAAAGATGTATTTCAACCATCTGTCAACTAGCATGCATTGGTTACGGTTACACAAGTATTTATATCTCATTTTCATTTATCTAACCCTTTACCGATCTCAACACATATTATAATATTTATTTAATTATATTTATTTGGATAAAGACGTTTTACTACTATACATGATCTCATTGAACACTCACCCAAGCACTATCTCTCTCTCTCTCTCTCTCTCACTCACTTTCTCTCTCTCTGCTGAAGCTAATCATGTTGAGATTTTTCTCATATATCCACATATTCATATCATATACACAACATGGCACAATGAACTTAGTCACAAAAATCAACAACCAACCCAATTATAGGAAATTGCAGAATCATGATACGTGCAGTCTGGTTGTGTCTAATTCTATTCAACTTGTTTATATTTATAAGATCTCATAGTTATCTCATTTACCCTTTCGAATACAATTGATGAATCTATTAAAAGCATTAGTTGGGATTAGATAGCTGTTCCATTGAACAACTCAACTCATTCCCATGAAAGCCTCATATTCATATGATTTCATACTTCATTTCTCTCTCTCTCCTTTTTTTTCTCTCTTCTCACACTTTTTCCGAAAGCTAACTATCTCATTTGTCTCATTAGAGATGAAAAGAAAGTTGAGCTCGGTGGTATTACATGAATTCAGCATTGTACTCTTGCAGACATGCCATTGATGGCGTACGTTCGATTTCCTGAAGCCTTTCCAGCTGCAAAATTTATTTTTTTTCACTCAATTTCCTTCCGACAAGTAATAGTTAAATGCGTCAGTATGAGATTGTTCTTTCAGTGCTCTCTACCTGATTAATCACTGCCCTCACACCTATCTATGAGAATTCAAAAAGTATTATTTCACTTAACTCCGACCTCACAACATACTATCTCTCACTCTCTCTTAATGTCTTGGTTAAGTATCTCATTCCCATCATCATGATTCACACACTACGTTAGCCTTTACCAAATGAACTGTCTCAGATTCAAAGAAAACTGACTTCCAAGATGAAAAAAGTATTGAAAGAGAGAAAGAAGGAGATAGAGAGAGTGAAAGTTAGAGTGAGAGAATGGTTTATTCATCTCTCAATTAGATTATTCATTTTCTCTCATAACATATTTCTAAGAACATTGCATATGATTGAATGATTAATCATTACATACATTAGCTTTTCCACTTCTCAATTGTTATTATTTCATTTCTCTTCTATCAACATTCGAAGCACACCAGGTTAGACTATGCAGAGAGACGTTATTGCTTTTTAAATGCAACAAAACTACATTTACATTGATTGTTTAAGCTTCTACGATATGATTATGCAATGAGTATACTCTTTCTCTCTCTCTCTCTCTCTCTCTTTCTCTCTCTATAACCTCATCCTCAGTTCATCATTACCTTATACGGACAACAAGTTTATGCATTTCATTATGACGAATAATACACTTGTCTCACTACGTGCAAATGTATTATCTCATCTCATAATCAGTATAGCTCAAAGCATCTTAATAGATATCCTTTTGCATTTTCATCATCTCCTCACATGTAAAGTATTATCAGGCAACATGCCTACTCTCTGCTTACACCTCGTCCCTCCGCTTTCATCCTAACAATCAGATAATAATAATACTGATTGATAACTTATGCTATTATTAACGTTTCAATTAAAATATCTGATAAACAGCTTTTAAAGAGAGTGAGAGAGAGGTAATGATAGAGAGATAGAGAGAGTCAGAGATAGGTATCCAAAAGCTCAAAAAATCAATGAACCCTACTGTGTTGTTGTCATAGTTTCTCTTTTATCCTTTTACCTCTCTTAATCATTTGTTGTTTCGCATATTTCCCTTCCTTTCTCTCTCTCTCTCTCTCCCTCTATCTCTCTCCTTGTTATATATAAATCATTAATAAGCTAATATACTTATAAACCTATCTCTAATGCTTACCTATATTCAATCTAATTAACGTTGCTATGTCAAATAATCCGGGAGTGATACCTATTTTCAGACATCTGTCAGGTAACGAGCTACCATTCGGCTCTCCTCCTCCTCCTCCTCCTCCAACTCCTCCTCCCACTTCTCGTACTCCTATCTTCTGTTCCTTCCAACTCGCTTATTGCTGTTGCTAATACTTGTAGATCTGTTTCAATTCATAATATAGTTTATTATATAATATAATTAGCTTAATTTTTATAACATTTCATTGTGTGTGCTCGTCGTTCTTGCCATATCGCATCTACCACCGAGACATATACGCATCTACATGTGTAGATTATATATTAAACTTTCTTTTTTTATATTAAGACTCTATCGAGAATGGATAAATCATTCCGTGATCTTCAACTCGTCTTAGCCGAACTCGAATTGTCGGAAGCGAAGAAGAATGATACTCTGTTATTGGTTCTCTCAATAATTGTTTTTCATTTCATTTGATTTTAGGCAGGCGTTGAAGAACCGCATTGAGCAGCTTAAGAACGAAGTTCGTGACCTAAAACAGGAAAAGAAGAAACTCGAGCAACTTGTAAGTTAAAGATTCATTATAAGGATTAAAATGTTTGTAATTTGAGATTGAGGAAAGAAATCAAGCTGCGAACAATAAGGAAAACTGAGAAGACAGATTATATGGTACAAAGTGTATACGTCATAGACTACTCTTTGAATAAATCTATTTGTTGTTAGATTTACTTTGATTTATCATTTGTCTTGAACAATCTCAAATACTTCCTTCATTCACTTCACATCTTCACATTAAGCTTATTTCAGTTTCACTTCATAGGTTAACCAAAATGGATTTTGATCCTACAGCTTTCGTAGGAGCAATGCAATTATGGGCCAATCTTCAATATTTAGCTTCATTACAATCACGACCTGATCTCAAGTTTTTCAACCTTCAAATACATTTTTTATACTATTAAATACTTTTAGACATGAACTAGAGCATGACATTGATGAATTTCAGACCGAAATTGAATGTCTTGAACAAGAAAAGAAAGTTCTCAAGCAATTTGTGAGTTTCCCATTGCCTTTCCCATAACCTTTTAATTTTCAGCTCTTCAGACTTGAAGAACGTGTGTCTTCGCTGAGAAAGAAAGCTAATCAAAAGAAAGCACAATTGCGACGGCTTAATAAGCGTCTGGATAGAAACCCACCAGCTAACTGATTGATATTCGATTATGCCTTAATACTATGAACAGTTTCTCAATAAATTGATCTCCAACGAATATTATGTTATAAGATTGGCTTTATGCAATATCACTTATATCTACTGAAGTATTCGAAGCTGAACCCTGCTCTAATAGTGCAATATCTACAAGTTTTGGTCGAGGTGGAGGAACCGGATAAGTTGGACGTTGAGAGGTGACTTCATTTAAAATCCATAAAATGATTAGAAGTGCGTCAATGAAATAGCATGTAGTGGCTATTCTATTGACATAGAAGAAGTCAGGTGTCTGAAAATAACTGTAATTGTTATGATGTGCTGCATGATGAGAAACCTTTGTCTCTTCAAACACAATGGTATTGATGAAAAATAAAATTGTCAACAGTACTCGAACATACAGTTTTCGATTCAACCCGCACATCATAGATATCTGTAAGTAAGTTGAGAAGTACGGATGATATATATGCTGATGAATTGATAGCGAAAGGTGTTAGCTAGGTACAATTGATGAAGTTGAATGTAGTTTTTGTTTCCCAAAAATGATAATCAACAGGAAACTTAAAATAAAAGCTCATCAATTGTTGTAGCATTCCCCTTATAGTTACTCGTCCGAAGTTATTTCCTGTCCACTAAACGAGTATGGATGAACTCTTCCGTTCTTTTTACAAAACCATTTCCATCTATACTTACATCTATAGCATAACGTCACTGATACATTCAAGTTGTCGACCAACCATCTTCTTACAATAGAAATGACTAGAAATGAAGAGAAGAGATACGAGAACGAACAAAAAAAAAAGATTTGTGAGTAAAGTGAGATTAGATTAGTCAGCACAGTTCTGTACTCTCTAGTTGGACCTGCTTAAACGCTATTGATCTTCAATTGTTCTCTGGAACGATAATGCATTAGATACTGTATTCAAAGTATCAAAAACATTTTCTTTTTCAAATAAAAACATATGAGAAGAAAACGAATTGTAATCTCTTTCTACCTCATTCAATCTCTCTCTATCATTCTTTCTCTCTTCTCTCTTAACATACATACAAGAAGATGAAATATGAAACAAAAGCTTTATTTATTATTTTCTACCATATATGGTATTGCTTAGGATGTCTATTCGTCATATTATGACATGAAAGAAAAATATATATTCAATCGATGATTAAAAGCCTCCATGTCATTCAGAATAATTCGTCATCAACCATTTTTTTGTCCTAGAAACCACGAATCACAACGAACGTCGTTGCTTTTATGACATCTCTTATTCTTGGCACCCTTTTAAGACTTTTTTGCTTTTCCTTCTCTTTTTTTTTTGTCATCTTAATCATCTTGCTGAAAGGTTTTTTTTCGCTTGTTAAAGAGTCATAAACGTTGTTCATCTCCTCGTTTACAGATGCTACCAAACGTCGCCTTCTTTGGTGACGAACAATGTGGAAGAAGCTCTATTCTTAGAAGGCTCATACATAAAGAACAGAAGAGTAAGATTATAGATTGTATCTATGAGATACATGAATTCACTTGCCAACCAATGGTACACACATACAGTCATGGCATCACAACCGATATCTTTCTAGGCGTTCAACATAACAGACTTTAACTACAAGATTCATCCACTTCTGGCTAAACAAATGAGCTTTTCGAAAGTTCTTGTCTTCTTCTTCAGAAATAATGCTGTCAGCTTCTATGATGTGAGTACATCTCCATAGTCATATCACCAGACTGTTATAGATATTGAAAAGTTTGGATTTCTATGAGAACTGCTGCAAGAACGAGAATACAGTGTCTTTGCTGTTTGTGACGAACAAGGAATCACCACATGAGAAAGTAAGTTCTTTGTATTCATGAACATCTCTCTCTCTCTCTTAAGGTATGTGATTACATCAAGAACAAAGTTAGCGACATCCCAGCAGATCTAGTAGAAGTATGTCTACAAGACCTTCCCAGCATTCATAGATTCTTCGAACTTCTAGTTTCTCGTTTGGAAAGTAAATGTTGAGAAGTTGATTGATCATTTCTAAGCTCTTCTTCTTCCGCGTTTTTCATCCTTCTGTTTCATATATGTTGCTATGATGTGGCTATCTTCTATACTAATAACATCTTCGAAAAATATTTTTTTATTAGAAAATGAAAAGAAAAGAATGATGGTTGGTTGCCATAAGTGAAATTGTATTGGATGGATGAGTATTTCCATCAATATTAGAATATTAAAAGTAAAAAATAAAAATAAAACAAATACCGTGAGTAATCGGAAAAACCAAATGATTATTAAAGCTTTTGAAATGGATTTGGATTATAAGACCAGGCTAAGTATGAAATAGAATGAGATACATACAGTTATGAGATATATAAATAGATAATGCTTGTGAGGGTTTTACCATATCTACCTTCTGTGAGGGACTTTGATATCTGTGAAAGATATTCCTTCTACAAACATTGTGAGATCCATACGCATATTATTCTTTATTGTCCGTGTTTGCCACCTATAAGGTTAAATTCTGTCTGATGATCTTACATTCGTTTATAACTCACGGTGAGACTACGAAGAAGGGATATGCCTGTTTAGCACCCCTACCAATGGATATAGGACGATTCTCAGCTCCTTCCTTGTAATACGGATTCAATGAAACATCTATTTGAGTAATCATCGACTTTGATAGTTTTTCCGTCTAAAATGATTTTCTGAATATGAGATTCATCAGATGAAACAAACCTTTGCTACAGCATAACTGAATCGTAATCGGGGATAGTTCATGTTACAGTGCATTAGTAAAGAGAAAATAGTTTCAAAGCTTCTATAAAGCATTCAGTTGAACAGAATATTATCTCAAAAGACTCTCACCTATCACATATTATGCATTTATGTGGAACCATTGGTCGAAGCTTCGTGAAAGTGGAAGGGCTTGGATCACTATACAAGTTTTCAACATGACAATTCTAAATAGAAAATGAAAATGATTAACTGGGATGATAACTTACTCTAAATTCATATTTGACTACAGGATTGTAAATTTTCGTTCCAGGAGGTTCACTTGAATTGGCTCCAACAAAACGATAACTGCAATGACTTCCTTTGAATGCATCGTCTGCTATCATAACTCACAATAAAAATATTTCCGGAATATTAATAAACATATTCCGCATTCGATTCCTAATGTTTTTGGAAAGCAAAAAGCTTTTGCAATAAACTGAAACAAGCAATTATAGGAAAATGAATAGAAGAAAGATGTTTCTTACAGTTCTGAAGAAAACGGAAGTGATTAACATATCTTCCATTTTCAGTTGGATATTTTCCTAAGAAATTGTAGAGATCGAAGTATAAACGATCTTTGTGTGTTTTTTTATTATGAGATTTATCTTCATATTTCTCTTCTTCTTCTTCATCTTCTAATTCATCATTCCCTTCTTCTTCCTCTTCGTCAACAACTGATTCATCGTCGTCTTCTATTTCCATATTTACATCTTGCTTCACACTTTGACGAGATCTTGACCTTGTAGGAGTTGATTTCGCATCATCATCATCAGGTGTGCCACTCTCGTTGAAACGTGACGAACGTCGCAGTGATGAAAGAGGTGTTGTTTCTGTTCTCAACCTCTTTGAGACTGGAGTATCTGAAGGTGTGTTAGATGCACCTCTTTTATTTGACAATTCCGAACTTCTAACTGATTTGGCTGCTTTCGATTTGTTAGAGCCTTTTGTCTGTTTTGATGAAGCTTTCGTTTTGGTCTTTGACCGTTTCGTCACTCCTGAACCTTTTGCCAGTTTCATAGACTTCGAGTTCTTTGTCGATTGATTGTTGTTTGAATTTCTAAAACCTTTTTTCGGGTTTTTCGAATTCTTTGAACTACTATTCCGGGTTCCTGCGTCAATTCCACTGTTTCTGCTTGTCGATCGTTTTCCTTTTGACTTTGCTGATCCCTGTTTCGGGTAAGCTTTGGTTTTGGATGGTGTATCATATTGATAGGCAGTAGCATACTCTTCTTCGTCAGATGATTCATTTTCCATCCTTTTTGATAAGTTTAGAAGATTTGCGATATGGGTAAGAGTATCATCGCCCTCTGGATCTTTCGCAAGCTCGAATTTACGAAATCGTTCTTCGTTTGTGATGAAATCTGAATCGAATGCAATTCTACATTTTCCACTTATAATTCCTTCAGCAAAGCCACATTCGCAAACTTTTCCACAGTTTTTGGTGCATTTCCGGACACGAATATTAGGATGTAGAGGTTTGCTATAAAAATGAATGAATGTTAATGAAAAGGGAAAAAAAAGGAAATTACGTTGGCACGAGAAGAGATAAAGCATCAGTTCTGAATCGAGCAATCTTTCCTATTATGGCAGGATTTTCAAAAGACATCTGAATTATTGTTATCAATATGATTTTTTGAATTGAAATCTTACTAAATCTCGACTATATATGTCATATTGACGTTCTTCATATATGAAACCAGGACGCAGATTCTTTACATGTCTGAATATGAAATGTAATTAATCTCTTATTCATATATCCGACTTACACTACATTCATTGCGAAATCTGAATAATCATATTGCAACGGTGAGCCATTCGTCCAGATGGTTCGACTTGCAAAATATTCTCCCTGAAAAATCTTTTTGAGAGAATATTCTATTGAAATTTTGTTACTCGAAAGAATCCAGGCATTTCCATTTCTTGCAATGATGGCACTTCCAATATTGGTTCAGACAACTCTTGTACAAGAGCAGTTCGGACTTTAATCAATAATTTTGCTTCTCTCGTTGAAATTCTCATTTTCTTTGGCGATGGCAAATCTATTTGATATGCTGTTTTGATTGGAAATACTCCTCGAAATTCGCCATTCTTTATTTCTTCCTGAAAGATGTTATAGATGAAAGAGTTGAAGAGAGATATCATACCGTCACTTGTCTACCATCATGAAAGATGTAATTCATATAGAATTTAAAATGACAATAACATCGTTTAGGGCTTCTTTGAAATGAAAAATCTCTTAATAATAATTGTCAGTGTGTATGTGTGTGTTGTTGCTATCATTGCTTACGAGATGGATACGTAATCCGAATATTGATCTCGAGTTATCTCAGCATTCTGTCCAACAATATATCCATCTTTGACAATAATTTCTTTATGTGGAGCCTAGAGATGTATTGAGATAGACAGTTATCATGTAGATGTTCATACCATGTTAAGATGTTTGAAAGCTCTTTCAACTCCTGAATAGTATGCATCCATATCACAAAAATCTCTCAAAATTCTTTTTTCCTCCACCTCATCCTCATCATTTTTCTGAAAAACAAATAACCAACAAGTTATTTGATGATAAATTCTATTCATTAAACCATTTTCTTAACAACTCGTCTACTTGATAGACTTCGGATATGCAAATCAAGTTGATTCCGCTTAGCATTATCATTCCTTCTATCTCGTATCTTATTTGGATTGAATTTGAAAACTAATGGTGGATCATCTATACCAAGAGCCTTATTAACTGTTATCTTAAATATATACTATATCATCTCATCTATTAACTATATAATACCTTATTTGTATTATTTTGATAAATGAGATTTCGATTCAAAAATGGTTTTGGTGAATTTTCTCCATCTCTTCTACGTAATACCATAAATTTGTATAATCGACATGCAGCTGAATATTCATTTTCAATATAAATCTCATAAATGAATCAGAAGCCTATACCTATGACTTTCTCCCTATAATCAGCATTCGAATATTCATTTTGTTCTAACTTAATCTATAATATAACATATTTAAATGATTATATTTCATATTCTAAACTAACCGGTGGATCTAATACTATATACTTATCATTCTTCTTCAACCTCATCGTTCTTAACTATAATAATATGTATAAGGAGATAAGAAGGGGGGGGGGAGAAGAAGAAAATGGGAAAAGAAGATAGAGAGAGAGATAGAGAGAAGGAGGAAGAATATGTATGTTACGGTGTATAGCATAGCTAACTAATTATTATAGATTTCAATATTCTATATACTTCAACGTCATTAATTATAATTATATATTATATTTACATATATGAAGGTGTAGAATAGAGGATTGAAAGAGAAAAGAAAAGAAATGAGGGAGAGAGAGTGAAGTCGGAGTATTGCATAGTTAACTAATCATTAGGAATGTGATAATTCAATATATCTATATCCATATATATATATATTTATATGTATATTGAATAATCAGTATAGTTAATATGAATGTCAAAATGAGACACGTATCACAAAGAGCTACATAATTTCTAACTATTCTTGAATGACACATTGCTATTAGCATCTAGTTGTTCGTTCTGACGCCGTTTTTTAGGTTGTTGTTCATATGAGCATACAATCAATCAATATATAGTTACACATAGTTATATATGTATATAATATATATATTATTATTATATTATTATACATCTTTATACAGTTTATCTGTTTATTTATTATATTATCTTTCATCTTGTAGAGACGCAAATTTTCGTCAAATTTGTACAAAAGTATCTCATTGAGATAACAGTCTCAAAGTTTTAATGATAAAACCAAATTTATTGAAAGAGAAAGATAAGATACGTATTGTCTCTTAAGAGAACAAGATAACTATGATAGAGAGGGAGAGAGAGAGAGAGCTAGAGAGAGAGACAAAGAGAGAGAGAGATAGAGAGAGAGAAAGAGATTTGAAGACAAGTGTAGAGAAAACAAAAACGAAAAGTCGTATTGGGAATAGAAAGCGTCGGCTATTTGAGAGAAAACGTGTTGCATACAAGACACAACACGAAACAAAGAGAGTGACGTTGCAATATGTGAGATAGTATGTATATATGAGATACAACGCTCCGTTAGAGATAGATTTTGAGCGTCTTTGAGACTAAGGTTTGGCTGAGATCGATAAAAATCGAAAATGCGGAGAAGAGACGTTAATACAAAATTGAAAAATTTATGAGAGAAAAAGAGAAGAGAAAGATATGATGAGGATAAAGAGAGATAAAGAGGAAGAGAGAGAGAGAGAGACAGAGGGATAAGAGAAGAGAATGGTTTTGATCACAATCGACTGTGTGCCACACACATCCACACATACTCATACATATCCTCCACACATACACACAGTCCAGACACACACAATAGCGGAACAGATTTGAGATAACGAAGGGATATGTAAAAGAAATGATGAAAATCAGACAAAAGAAAGGACTGTAGATAGAGTGAAGGCTGCAAATCTAATTTCAAAAAAAAAAAATTTTTTTTTCCAAAAAAAAAAAAATATTTGTAAACTTGATGTTTTTATAATTTTATGTGAAATTTGCTTTATTCATGCTATTTCCGTCAACAAATTATAAAATGCTATTGTTATTCAATTAACTATAAGACTCATGACTTATTATATATACTAATTAGCATAACTAGTGTTTCTTTTCTCTCTCTCTAAATACAATGCTATCTAACTTATTTTTCCTTTTATTAGCTATTTGGATTTTCGTAATGACCTACTACTATCTTGCTTTCCTTCCCAGACCCCCAGACAACGTCCACTCTCCCCCTCCCCTCTTAACCAACCATCACTCTTCAGTTTCTCTCTCTCTCTCTTTGTTTCTCTGACAAGTCTCTTCATCTATCTGTCAGTCTAAATTTTAGGTCAAATTGAGGCTGAATGCGCGCGGGACTTTTTGCGCCCATCATCTGAGAGATAAGACGATGACATTTTGTTAACGGGTGGTCTCTCTCTCGATGAGTGGCAAGGATTATATTTTATTGTTCACTCGCATCATTCGAAACATGTGCATGCATGGAGCGAGTGACACCTGCTTCTTCTCCTCTTCCAATATCTAGGTTGATGATGGCTCATCTCATAATTATATGTATTTTTAATTCTTATTCCACTTCTTCTCATATTTAGAAAATATAAAAGAGCTCATCTCCATCTGCTCATGTCATCTGTTTTAGCAAAAAGTGCAAGCCATCTGTCCATTTTTATATTTTTTTCTCTTTTTTTGTCTCGGACACAAAAACATTTTGATTATATGGTGCTTAGAGTGTAGTGAACATCTTTCATCCTCATGAGATGAAGCTCTTTGTTGATTTCTTGCTATCTGTCTGTAAATGTGTGCAATGTGGCTGAAAGTGTGAGTGAATGTCTATATGTGTCTATGATATTCCTATTCATGACAGATACTATTCCGAAAACAAAGACATTCTGATTGTGTGAGAGAAATTTATGAAAAAAAAAAGAAAACGAAAAGCCATTATGAACAATGCTTTGAACGTCAGAAAAAAAAAATCTTTGAAATGTGTGAAAAGTGTCCATGTTGTTCAGAGAGAAACTAGAGCTGTCTCTCTTACTTTAGGTTTCATATCTCTCATATTCACTTTCTCTCTTCATCTATCTTTCTATTTTCAATCAAATATAATGAAATATTAATTTTTCTTTATGAATTCTGATATTCTAAAGAAATAGAGAGAGAGAGAGTGAACGTCATTTAGATGGAGAAGGAGAAGGAGAGAGAAAGAGAGTGAAAATTGAAAGCTTTTCATGAAATCTCCCATGTTCTTATGCCAGCTAATCTCATTTCGAAAATAGAAAATGAGAATGAAAAGCTTCTCACAATCTTTAGTCGGCTTTCTTTAAGAGAATAGAGTATGTGACACATGCACATATACACACCATCATACAGCAATGTACTATGAAGAGATCGAGAATGCAAAAGAGAGAGAGAGAGAGAGAGAGAGAGAGAGTATGTGTAGACGTGAGAATATTTATTATTTATTGAGAGAAAATGTGTTACAAGACAGGTATATATAAAGCTGATTGTAATAATGAATTGTTTATAAGCCTTGCGATAATTCATTTGTAGAGCTTCAATTGATCTATCATTTCTTCTTTACTTATCTTTTCCTGAGTTTCCTGAAGTAAGCTATAGATAGCTTGCAATTGTTGTTGAATGACATCTTCTTCTTTAGCCTCCTCCTTTTCCTCACATTCATCTTCATTCGCACATTCCTCCATCGTCATTTCCATCATTTCATTATCCATTGTCATCAAGTCATTTTCATTGCATTCCTATAATGATGATGATGACGATCAGACAACTTTCTCTCTCTCTCTCTCAATCTCTCTCACTCTCTCAATTACCTTTGTATTCTTCTTATCATCACCTTCTTCATTTTCTGAAACAAAAAAAAATCATAAATGATTACGATATATGAATAGAACAGTAATCTCTCTTACTCTTATCGTTTGTCTTCTTTTGATAGAAGTAGGCGAAACCAAAGATGAACACAACTGTCTGTAACAAATATACGATATGAGTATCTCTTTTAACTTATGTTGATATCTTACTATAGCTGTACCCAATAGTACAGTGATCCATACGTTATTAAGAGCGTTCATGGTTATATCGAAGGTCATTTCAAATGTCTGTGACAGACAGAGAATGAGAGATAGAGAGAGAGAGATAGATAGATAGAGAGAGAAAGTTTCTAAAATACTTCTGATAACAATCATTTGATGAACAAAAAAAAAAAAGAAAGAAAGAAAAGATAGAATTAAAAATAAAACTGGAGAAGAAGTCGAAATGAAAATGATAATGTATGAAATATGAACAACAGTATGGATTTTATCATTCGCACAAGGATTTCATCAATGTGCTCTGGCAAATCCGGCAAAGCATTGATGTTGTGACAAGTGACTCTAATTCTCTCTCTACATATATCTTTCTCTCTCTATATATATCCACCTCTCTCTCTATCTATCACTCTCTCTCTCTCTCTCTTCTTCTCATTTTTTTTTCTTGTTTTCATTCACATTTATGTTATTTAAAATATCTTTACATATGAAGAAGTATTAAAAACGTATAACAGTGGTAGGATAGAAATAGAATGTTTTGGACGTTAAATGTAACACCACTAACGAATATGTGAATATAAAATATGAACTGAAAGGGAGCAGAATCCATTACTAGAGAGGAAGAAACCATTAAACGAGGAAATATGTAATTATTTGGCTTCTATGGCTACATCTGCTAGAACGTTCTGTTCAATTTTTTGCCATTGCCCCTAGCAAAATGTTTAAGTGTTCCATTTTATTTTCAGAAGATTTTAGAGAGATTTAGGAGAAAGAGAGAGAGAGAGAGTGTGTGCGTGTGAGAGAATAATGTAGAGAAAGTAGACATGAGATTTAGAGAAAGTCTCTCTTACGCTTTCTTTTAAGACGCTATCCTTCTCTCTCTCTCTACCTCTCTCTTCCTCTCTCTTTATATCCTTCTATTTATCTCTCTTTTCGTCTGCTCATTTAATTTGATGTGCGGCATCATATGAGAAACGTAGCTCCTTTCTCAAATAGTTTGTCAATAGTTCAAATTTTCAAAAAAGGAAATGATGCCAAGAATAAGATGTCTTCTCTATGATGATGAACGATTATGTTCATTTTGATATTTCAATGACAGTTGGTTAGCTATTTTTTGAAATTCAAAGAGCATGCGGCGGAAAGGTCAATTAGTCAGATGGTGGCAGCACATGTTACACCGACAGCTCTGCGGTAGGTCATCGTTATTGCTAATCCGCCAAGGAGGAAGGGCCAACGACTTATCTTAAAAGCTTTTTTGTCCTTCACTCTCTTTCTATCTCATTCGTCTTCACTCAGCAGATTCTATCTTTTGCTCTCAAACTCTATTTTGTCTACATTCTATGTTCGTTTTTCGCATTAATGCTACCTAAGTGTATGTCTAGCAAAGAAGTACTTCCAGAAATCGGCTTAGGTGATTTGTAATAACGAGATGCCTCGAAACATACTTAGTGATGCATATAGGCAATATATTAAGAATTCAGTGAGTTTTTCATCAGAATATTTTAATATTTTATGCTAAATCACTAATTATATGCTAATAATATTCCTTTTCAGCTCATAACTCAAGCAAAGGAAGGACCACACAACATGGGTAACATAGCATAGCCGGAAGTATAGTTTAAAGAAACAATATAATATTATAGAATGGTTACAATTCTATAAAGATTTGTGTGATAAACAAGCTGAAGGAACTCGACCATCTCTATTCCTTCAGAGAAGCTTAACATACATTGATGCTGATGAAATTGTATTATACTGACAGTTGAATTAGATGACAGCCGTTTGTTTCAGCAAATTCCAAACTTTGTGACGGGCAAAGTAAAGCCGCCACTTGCTTTTCCCAGAAAAGATAACCCCCCCAGGAGAAAAATAAAAAATATTGTCAGTGATTTACGAACTAGAGTGGGAAAAGCTGTTTCCGCTAATGCTGTGAGAAAGACGTTATTTGAACTTTAAAATGAGAATGATGAATATTTAAGACAGCCAAGTTCGATATGCGGCTTAAGCGCCGACTGGAAGTAGTAGTGCCCTATTCACAGGATGGCGAAATTCCCGAGAGATTTAGGGTATCAAGAAGGTCTTAAGGTTTTTATTTTTTCTTCAATTTTTTCAGAAAAGACATAGACCAGTCGTTGTTGAGGATGATGATGATGATGATGATGAGAGGCCAATCGTTGCTAAACGCATTCGTTGTGATCTTCTTCATCATGCTGCAAATTCTGCAGGAAATGAGCTGATGATGGAAGATGAGATCAGAGATAAAGTGCCACCATTAGGACAGAACCCAGTGCCGTTCATTCATCCTTACGACATTCTGCGGAATTTAGGAGAAGTTCGTATACCTTTCCCATCATACAAATACATGGGCGGATACAGTAGAGAAACACATTTCGATAAAGCATCGCAATGTATGTTTATAAATAGTAAAACACTGAGTCTAACACACAACTTCATTAAGTTTTCGTACCAAACTTCTTCAATATGAGGAAGTCCAATGAGATGTTGTTGAGTATGTTCCCTCTCAGTTGTCCAAGCGTAGTCAAGTTAGTTAGAAAAGCAATTATTCATCATAGAACATTGAATAATTGATAACTTTATAGTTATACGATTGCTGGTGTTAAACGTAAGGGCCCACCCGGAACTTATGTTAATCCAAAGACCTTTGAAGAAGTTGTTGTAAGCATAGTTCCTAATTAATTGGTGACAGATGTTCTCTTCTAGGGAAAGAAAGCTAACAAACGTAGTTATGAAACGTCTTCTTTGATCAGACGCTTTTTCACTTTCAAACGCAAAGTAGATGCAGACAGATGCATTCTGTGCAATAGGTTCGTATGAAAACCACTTCCGGTTATGATAAGAAATTTTTCTTCAGAAAGTTCAATAAGCTCTACTACCTTCTCATTCATTACAACACTTGCTACCCTAGACTTGACTTCCTTGTTCGTGTACCAAAGGTAAGAAACGAGTGTTCGGAGTTTGTGAATTGATTTCTTCAGCATGAGAAAGAGTTGAAAGAAGGTTTCCAAATCGTAATTTCTGAGAACGAGCACTACAACACTGAACATTATGAGAATTTGCCACTACTACCTGGTGAAGCAGCCAATCGATTTGATCCGCATTTCTTCATGAATCCGTAAGTTCAAAATGAGTTTACCTAAACCGGAATAATGCTCTAGATGGGATGGTAGAATGATGAGAGATCATGTATACCTTGATCTTACCACATTCATAGCTGGTTACATTGACACGGAACAATTTTTCGTTGCAACCAAGCATCCTCTTCGATTCTGTGATTATTACTATCATAGGGTTAGTATATGGTTTTCATTAACTAGTTAGTATGTGAGTTATTCCAGAAGCTAATTGAGTATGAGGTAATGGATCATCAAACTGCGGTTCTGCAAATGCTCTGGGTTGAGTTCATCTATCTGTTGAGCATTGAAACATGCAGACATTTGAAACCTTATGTTCTATACGTAAGTTATCTATAACAAAACAGAAGAAACATATCATTTTAAGCGTTTATTCATTCATATGTACCATGAGCAACTTCATGATTTGAGATTATTGCCAGCTATGGGCAATCATATTCAATATTATACGAAAAAGAAGTTGATCTCTTTCAAACTCGGTCGAGATATAGTAGAAAGGTGCTTTGAGTTAAGCAATAGAAACATAAATGTTTTTAATATTTTGCAGATTGAACGGTCGTAAGAAAGTAGAACCAACGGAAGAGTTTGATGTTCTCTTCAAGAAGATGTTACAGTACATAGATGATTCGAGAGAACGTCATATTAAATGTAAGAATTGTAAATATAAAGAGAAACTTATTGGAATTTAAGGCTTGCAAGCATACAACTACAAAAAATTCTTGGCTAACCCAATTGAGCCGAATATGCTTGAGATAGAACAATTGACTGAAACAGTAAGATTCTATCCAAACAACAAAATAGATCAATTGATTGATATTCAGGTTCTATCATTCCCATTTGATTTGCTGGAAGATACGAAATACAAAATTTCGCCGAAAGTCTACAGTCTGGCTCGGAAGGCACTGAATTCTAATAGAAACAATCATACTAACTCTAATACTTTTCAGCTGAATCAAAGAATGACTTATGGAATGTTCTATGAAATGTTGCAGCAAAGACGTCATTAATCCATTTTTGCTTGCTTTTCTTAAAATACTTATGATATACGCACTATGCTTAATCAATCAGCTTCGGCTTAACTTTACACAGTAGTTAATCAGTTTTGTAATTTGTATGCTTAATCAGTTGGTAGTAATAAAAAAATTTATTTAATAATCACCCGTTATGTGAACAATCAATTATCAACCTATACATGAATATCAACAATCAACGAATAAACTCTACAACAAGCTCATTCAGAGCTGTATCTGCTTTCGCAGATATCTCCTTGTAGCAGACATTTTTAAAAAGTCTGCTCAAGAGACTGCTTACAGCTGCTCCGTCCAGCTGAAACAAAGATCAATATTAGATGACAAATAACTGAATCAAATTAATACCTTAGATTCCATGTCGGATTTATTTCCGACGATGATGAAAGGAATCTTCGCAAATTCCTTTGAAGTGTTGACTTCCTTTATCATAGTCAACGTCTGAAATATTTGTTTAAATTATAAGAAGATGCGAATAGTCAAACCTCCTCTAGACTGTCTAGACTGCATAGATCGAATACATAAACTATTCCATTGCAGCTTGACAGACTTGCATTTCTCTGACTCGTCAGATAGAAATTCTGTTCTGTCAAGAGAACGGAGACGATTTTTTTCTACAATAAAAAACATATCACAATCATTCAAAAACAAAAATAGACTTACCCTGTATCTAGCCAGGTGGTAACACGTCCTCTTACGTGTGGTCGACTGCTTATCAAGAAAGTTATTCTTGATAATGTTGTCCACAATTGAGGACTTTCCACTCTGGCTAGCTCCAAGAACGACTAATCGAACTATAGCCATTTTTGAATGATATCGATTATCTGGAGAGAAGGAAAATGAAAAAGACGCTGGCTGTCAACTACGGTAAAGAGAGTGAGTTGAGTAAAACGAGGTCATAATCAATATATATCTCAAATATCACATGTGCTCAAACTACAAGACAAAAGAATTGAATTGAGCAAGGTCAAATTGGTCATTGAAGAATGAATTCAAGTTATGATAGATGATGTGTTTATATCAAGTTAACCATAACTTCAATTGACAGAGAAAAGTTATGTTATAATCTGGACCAAGCGTATGATGTGAGTTAACTCAAGCCCTGCCAGGTAATGGATGAATAGAAAATCAAATGGCTGATTATCAGATGAATGTCTGACAACAACTTGTTCTGCATATTTATCAGACATGAGCCCGCCCGACTTTGTATGTCGTATCTCTGATTATCATGTTCTATAGAATTTCATGAATGAATGTATTATAAACTCTTTGTGTGGTATTCAGAAGCAATTCATATCACTTTCCGGCTTCAATGTCATTCACACATATGCAGGTAAGATCCGTTATGTTCATAAACTAGGTATAGAAGTTTATTTGTATCTGCATAGATTATACATTTCCGTTGATATTCAAATTCAAAGCTGAATTCATAGATCTCATTTTCAAATTTCAATATATATCATTTCAGTACAATTCAGTCTACGTTCGTAAGTTCAAACTTATTATTTTCTCCGTCAGAACTTTAAGTCGAATATAGAAAACGTGAAAGATTGATTAACGGAACGAGACGTACAACTTAACTTGGTCAGTTCTCATACTCTATTCTTTTCATATTATATTTCGAAGCGAAAATCAGCTCAAACGAATTAGTCTTACAGACTAAACCTATACACGCTATGTTCATTTGATAGAGTCGTGAACTATAATCTGAGCACGCCGGGTCTAAACATACAAAAGGAAATCGGAAGGCGGATAAGGTCTTCCCTCCTCCTCTTTCGGTAAAGGCGTTAGGTCAGAGAAACATTCAAACATGTTCATCACAAAGGTGGTGAATTTCATTTGTCTTCTTCGTTCCCTTCTCTTCCTCTCCCTTCTTCCTTTCTCCAAATACATGTTCGACAACCACGTTCATTTCAGAATGAATCTCTACATATTATTAGCCATTCTTCCTCTTGTATCAACGCAATCGTTCTCAAAATCACATCTCGGCTTTCCTGAAGCTTGGGATGGTGACAAATACAAAGAATTGTATTGTCCCAGTAAGAATATTCCAAAGTTTTTAGGTATTTTTTTCTATTTCCAAACAGCTGGCAACTATACATTCTCTCTTTAAGATGGATACTTCCTTTGTCAATTGTCAGCTTCTTATGGTGATATCAATGCTGAGCCAGGACATAGGTTGAATCATATGATTGACGCTATTGGTGCTGTTGGATCTTTCCATATCAGCAAAGGAGAAGTCATATTCTCTTCTCAATACTATCCTTCGTTACCTTATAAAATCTGGGAATTTTATGATCGTAACATGTCTTTGGCTTCAGTCCCATGGGCTGGCTGGTCAGACTACAACTTAACCGCCATGACACGTTGGGAGCAGGTATGCATTGTTTGTTTAACTATTTGTTATTTTTTGTCGCCGAAGGTGCCAGGCAATCCTAACTCCGCACGCTTCCACCCCAATCTTGATTTCTGGAAAGTAGGAAAGAGAATTGTAGCCGGAACTGAAGCTCCTCATTGGGTTGGATATGAATTTGATGTATGTTGATATTGAAAGAAAGAAAAATCTCATTCCTCTCTCTACAGGTCAAATCACTAAGCAACTTCCACTTGTTTAACTTCACTGAAGATAACAATGTATTCGGAAACAAAAAATCTCCAATGATTCCTATTTCCATGGCTATTCATGAGCGCAACGATCCTGATGGAACTATTTGGGGTTCATTTTCAGCAATGAACTTTGAGGAACAGCGCTTCTACCAGGTGAGAAGAAACTTCAACAGAAGATAGAGTATAATAGATACATTCTAAACTTTTGTGAACGAAGGTGAATGTAATCTTTCTTATGTCAATAGCAATACACCTTTCTATTTACTTACTACAAATGACCATTAATGTACTTTCCATTAATGGATTTCTACAAGTTGCGAAAAAAAAGAAAAGTAAATCATTTTCAATTCTTTCAGGGAATATTCACATTAGACGTAAATGGAGTACGAAAGGTTGTTGGTATGTACGATTATGGAGTATGGGACTCAAATTCATGTGGAAGCAATGATGAATACATTGGTATGTTCAAGTTAGATTATCAATCCTCATATCTCCTGAGATAATAATTTTTTTTTCTTATTTTAAAAATGCAAACCGTGATCATATTGTTTTCATTATATTTACTTAGTTACGTACGCTAACTTTACGATGCATTGTCATTCGTGAAGATTATCCTTAGAGTTTAAAAGTGACCAATTTTTGTTTGCACATGATTTCATTCATACTTTACTTAAGCTCTTAGGGCTACAATAATATCTTAGCAAAACAACAATGGTCACAATGTTGACTATCTAACACTGTTGAAAGCTACTTTTCAAGTATAGCGAGAGAAACTTATTATATCTTCATATAGGTGACAAGACATTACTACCTGGATACATTCATTCAATTACATCAACAGAGAATTATGTTATCATTCCAATTACATCATTACTCATCAATCCTTGTAAATTCAAGGTAATACATATATACATGATATATATATATAAACAATAATTAATTTGTTTAAGGAACCACCAATGACAAACATCAGATCTGCTATTCAGAAAGGAGGTCTTTGGGGAATGGATTTCCATGATATGGTCCCAATTAGGTAATCTATCAGTTAAGATATTGATAATTGAAATGAAAATTATTAGATTCCTTATCTTCAACAAGAAAACCAAACAGTTTTCTACTCAAAAGCCACTTGAAGTCTTCCCATCCATGTTTGTTACTCATCAATTGAATGCATTCGAAAAGCCAGATGGAAACATCGTTGCTGATATGGTAAGTATATCTGATGAGATATTATGTGTCCAGATATCTATAAGAATATCTTATTCATTTTAATTTTAGGTTGTCTATGACTCTCCAGATCCATACATGAAGTACTTCTACACAGACTTCTTAACCAAGAACTTGTATCCAGCTACTGCTCGTATTCTCCGTTTCACATTAGATGCTTCTCAACACCGTGTTATGTACAACTATCTGACTCCTCAAGTAAGAATATTGAAAAATGACAGAATCTGATGAATTTGTGATAGGAAACAGTTGCTGGAGATTTCCCACAAATTAACAAACAATATGAACAGAAACCATATCAATGGGTTTATATGGTCGAACATCCATTTGCCTCAGACAACAAGATCATGAAGGTATTATCAAAAGTCAATAACTTTATAATGTTATTGCTTTAAAGATCAATATTGATGATACTACTGGTGCTCGTAACAAGGAATTCAAAACTGATGCTTCATTCATTCTTCATGAACCTTGGTTTGTGCCAAATCCATCAAGCCGTAGTGAAGATGATGGTGTTTTACTCATCCGTGCTTTGGATACGAATGAAAACAAGGGAGTTTTGTTAGTTGTATCAGCTGACACTATGCAAGAGATTGGAAGAGCTTACGTTCCCATCAGTATTCCATTCGGATTCCATAACAGGTAAGATTGGTAACCTCTTACAGAAACTATGTTTTGTCTTCAGATATTTCTCAAAGAGTGATTTGGGACTTGCTCCAGGTGTCCAAGGCAACTTGTTTAGCAGTCAACCCCGTAATGCTGAAATGAAGAAGGTTGATTAGGAATAGAAATGATATTTTGATGTATGCTTTACAGTTCCAAAGACCATACGCTTCAACACCAAAGTTCGCAAACACTCAAACAACAACTTTGGGCAGATACAACATTATCACAACAAGAAGCACACCAGCAAGCTCGACTACAACAGTGCAAAATGTGCCTATCACAACAACAACAACATCTACCCCATCGACCACGACAACAACTGAAGCGAAAATCGAAACAGTAACAACCCAGAAGCCACTGCCCACCACCACAACTCCAACAACTACAAGAAAGCCAATAGCTGGTGAGTATTTTATATGTGTATAAAGCATATTCATATCATTATTTAGTTCCTACTCAGCAAAATCCTAAAGTTCCACGATGGTGGCCACTCATGTCTTCCACAACTTCTCAACCATGGTGGATGAAAGCTCAAATGACCCAAACTTCTACTTTACCATCACTGTTCAAACAGACTAATCAGAACGTGAGAAGAGAATTTAACAGCGAGTATCTAAATATACTTTTCAGCCACTTCAAAACAAACAAGGTAACTCTATTGAAGGAGTCAATACAATCGACAATGTAGAATCAACTTCATTAGAATTAATTTATGATCAAACATTGAGCACATTGTGTTCATGGTTACCAAAGGTTATCACTAGTATCTCAAATGATATTTGTTTACAACAAGGAAAGAAAGCTGTTAAGTAAGCTGATTATAAACACAAGACAGCTCACAATAATATTTCTTTGTAGATGGATGGGTCCTATTGCTTCATCATATTCATCCTCTCTTCAACCTACGCAACAAACTAAAGAGAAGATCAACAACCTTCCAGGAATTCCAGCAGTCAAACCAAAGATGCATCCTGTACAAAACTAATTTTACTTTGGTGGAACTGAAACTTTAAGTATTCAATCTCCATGAGGTGCTTAAATTCGCCTCTGATTATATAATGATTTCAATTGGGTTTTTTTTTGTTTTTTTTTTTATGAAAGATGATAATAAAACGTTTTGCTCAACACTTATTTGACTAAGAATGATCGAAGATGTAACCCAAACAAGTTGTGAAGGAAGCTTTGCACCAGCTGATTGAAAAACAGTTTGGAATGATAAAACAAAACAATTTTTTTGGTGAAGGATTACCGTTAGAGAGAAGATGATAGAGAAGAGAAATGAAGATGCTTCACAGCACTATCCTATTAAGGAAGTATGTGTATGATAAACCAATAAGAGATAGAGAGAGAGATTCATAGATGTACTGTTCATGAAGTAATGAGAGATATCTGTCAGTAACATTGATGAGAATTGATTTTCCTGAAGAGATTAGAGTTATGTGATTGTGATTGAACATTACATTTCAACAATACATTGTAAGTTTCAACATTCTCTTATTTGCTCAATAATAACTTAATTACACTGATTGTTTGATTAAACGTTATCAATATAGAATTATCATTTGAATGTCAATTGATTAACAGTTGACTATTCCAT